AGGAGGAGGAGGAGGAGGAGGAGGAGGAGGAGGAGAGAAAGTGTGGAATAAATATGTGACATGCTTGGATCTGGATTTGAAAAATAAAAATGACAAAAAGGATAAATGAAAATAGAAGCATCCTAAATAAACTACAATGTTATTAATAAAAAAATGTGCCTTAAGCCCAGTCCAGGTACTCATAAAACGCACAGGAAAAGAGGATGAAATCAAGGGAAGGTTACCTGACCAGAGTTCCCGCCAGGTGTAATGAAGGCGAACTCGACACTTCTTCTGATAACAAAGCAGTTTATGTACTACCTGAATACAGCGTCTGGAACCAAGAAAGAAAAAAACTGAGGTAAACCTGAGAATACAGTGCAATTCACCACAGACACTATTTCTTTCTCTTTTTAAAAAAATATTTATTTTTTTAATTATAGGTGGACACAATATCTTTATTTTATTTTATGTGGTGCTGAGGATCGAACCCAGTGCCTCCTGCATGCTACGGGAACGCTCTACCTCTGAGCCACAACCCCAGCCCAACAGACACCATCTCTCTAGTGGAGCAACTTTGCTAGGGCCACTAAAGACACTGGATATGAATAAGTACACATGCAAAAGAAAAGAACATACACGTTAAACTCTTCTGGTAAATAAATCTCAATCTATCTTAATCTCTCTCATTCATGCTTGCGTTCTCTCTCTCCCTCTCTCTCTCTCTCTCTCTCTCTCTCTCACACACACACACACACACACACACACACACACGAAATGCTTGTGCAACCCATTTCCCTTATCAATGGGAAAAGGGGGCTACAACCACTTAGATGTCAACAGTCCCAAGTGACTACTCAGGCACCACCAATACTTTTCAATTGAGCATCATTCTAGAAAGAAAAGGGAAGAAGAATGTATTATCATTACTCTTTTGAAAGTGGCAGACACAGAATGCAAAAACAAAAAATTAAAGACTTTAAGTCTATAGACCTAATTAAATATTTTAAATAAAATTTAAATTACAGTTATAATTAACTTAAATTTTACTTACATTAAAAGTAAAGTTGAATATTCATTTCCTCAGATATATTAACCACAAAACAAGTTTTCAACAGCCACTTGTGGCTAATGGCTACAACACTGGACAGCACAGATATATATAGAACTTTTCTATTTTTCTTTGAGGTAGAATCTTCCTATGTTGCCCAGGCTGAACTTCAACTCCTGGGCTCAAGTAATTCTCCTACCTCAGCCTGCCAAGTATCTGGGACTACAGTGCCATGCTAAGAACTTTCTATAATCACAAAAGTTCTTTTGAATATTCAAAGTTATTCACAACCAAATAATATATTCTTTTGAGAGTATTTCAAAATTGTAAGCAATTAATAAGTTAAGAATAAGATGAGGGCTGGGGATGTGGCTCAAGCGGTAGCGCACTCGCCTGGCGTGTGTGCGGGCCCGGGTTTGATCCTCAGCACCACATACAAATGAAGATTTTGTGTCCGCCGAGAACTAAGAAAAAATAAATAAATGTTAAAATTCTCTCTCTCTGTCCCCCTCTCTCTCACTCTCTCTTTAAAAAAAAAAAAAAGAATAAGATGAATGAAATTTTTAAGAATTAGATACCTAGTAAAAATATCTTTTTCATCTTTGATAATTCTGAAGCTTTATATTCAAAGATTATAATGCACCAATATATTTTAAAATAGAAGTAACTAATTTTAAAAAAAAAAAAAAAAGCTTAAAGCTACAGATAAAATTAGAAAGGAAAATACTGATAGCCCTTACTTCCTAAAAATACAACCTTTTCTCTGATTTAAAAAAAAAAAAAAAAAAAAACTTTAACAATTAAAAGTAAAAGGTGGGCTGGAGTTGTGGCTCAGTGGTAGAGCGCTCGCCTTGCACGTGTGAGACCCTGGGTTCGATCCTCAGCACCACATAAATGAATGAATAAAATAAAATATTGTGTCCAGCTACAATTAAAAATATAAATATTAAAAAAAGTAAAAGGCAAGTTTGTATAAATATGTCATAACTGACTCTATTGTCATGTATAACTAAAAAGAACGACAACAACAAAAAAAAGTAAAAGGCAAACAGCTGGGTGAGGTGGCACATTCTGTAAAGCAATGCAGGAATCTGAGGCAGAAGGCTTATAAGTTCAAGGCCAGCCTGGGCAATTTAGCGAGACCCTGTTTCAAAGTAAAAAGTAAAAAGAGATTGAGAATGCAGTTTAGTGGTAAAGGACCCTAGGCTCAATCCCCAGTATAATCAATCAATCGATGGCAAACAATAAGTCAGGTATGGTGGTGAATGCCTAGAATCCCAGCTACTGGGAAAGTAGGGCAGGAGGGTCACAAGTTTGAGATAGGCCCTTGCAAAATTTAGCAAGAACCTGTCTCAAAATAATTTTTTTTAATTAATTAATTAAAAAGGCTGGGAATTTAGCTCAGTGATACAGCCCTTGTCTATTCATGAGGTGCTGGGTTCAATCCCCAGTACAGGGGGAAAAAAAGAGGCAAACAATATGGGACATGACATTTATAACAATTCATAATAATTCACGATCCAAGGGAAATTGGTTACCAAATCATTTGTTGATTTTTAGAAATTGGGCTGCCATCTCCTGTTTGATGCAGTCATCATTGGCTAAATGATGCCGTTATTTGAGCTATGATTTGCTCAGTATTCTATAAACTTTTCTATCAATTTCCCCATGAAACTGACCATTATTGGGTCCCCAGTGCTATAACTTTATTGCAGCCACTAAGGGTGGCTAAATGCTGCCCACACATGATGACCCATGCACAGTACATCCCTGAGTGCCAGGTCTTCTCACATAGCAAGAATCTAGACATCCTATACCTTGGCTCCTGTTGATAATGCCATCTGACATCACTAAGCCACTCCAGAGCAGCAATGAGGTGCTAACCTATATCCACCACTTTCATTCACAGCCAATCCAACACTATTCCTAAACTCTGTTCCTGTCACCGGTTTCCCAAATGATGCCATCATTAGCCTTTTGGTCTCAGTAACTTAAACTATTTGCCAAGCAGAATAAAATATATATATATATATTTTAATGAACTTAACATTTATTTTTTATTTATTTGTTTTTTATGTGGTTCCAAAGATTGAACCCAGTGCCTCATTTATGCTAGGCAAGGTCTCTACCACTGAACTGCAACCCCAGCTTGGAATGAAAATTTCAATAATTGTTATGTCCTTAAAAATACATACCAGGTACTCCCACTTTCTCCTGAAATCTTCTTCTAGGACCTACTGAAAAATGTTCCTCTCTTTTGGGAATATCTGACTTAAAAAGAGTCTAAGTTGTCCACATAAGAGTAACTTTAAGAATGCTTGGGCTGGGGATGTGGCTCAAGCGGTAGCACGCTCGCCTGGCATGTGTGCGGCCCAGTTTCGATCCTCAGCACCACATACAAACAAAGATGTTGTGTCCGCCAAAAACTGAAAAATAAATATTAATAAATTCATATTCTCTCTCTCTCTCTCTCTCTTTAAAAAAAAAAGAGGCTAGACAAGTGCAGAGGTGCATGCTTATAACCTCAGCAACTGGGTAGGCTGAGGCAGGAGGATAGCAAATTCAAGACCAGCCTCAACAACTTAGCTAGACCCTATGTCAAAATAAAAAATAAAAAGGGCTGGGGATGTCACTCAGTGGTAAAGCACTCTTGGGTTCAATCACCAGTATTGCCCTCTCTCTAAAAAAAGAAGAGTTTATTCTCCCTAAAGGCTATTTCTCACTCCCAAATCCTGAGGTAGCAATAACAATCAAGGAGTACAGTCAGGATTGGAAATTAATTGGTTAGGTTTTTTTTACCTCTTACAGCTCCAAGCAAGACTTTATTTCCTTCTTTCTTTATTTTGTATAAGCACCTTCCCTCATCATTACTTTACCTACAGCATTCATATACTGATATAAAATTGATTCACTTCTGACCCAGATTCTGGCTCTAAGTATTAAGTCTTTCCATACTCCATATTTCTTCATATTTCATCAGGAGGATTATAAACTTATTTGAAATGGTAGACATTTATTTTTGCTTTAAATTTATCATTCTACTGTATGCTGCTCAGAAGCTGTGCATAATGAGAAGTGAAAGCAGCAACCTGGCCTGATGCCTAGCTAGGAGCAGGGAAGTTCACCTAAAAAGGACTTGATACTCCAAATTCCAAAAACTGGAAAGGAAATTGGAAGTAGGGGAAGGAATATCTGGAAACAAGCCCATGGTATAATGAAGAAAATAAATTCAACCTGAAGGTGGGACCTTTTGCCTAGCCTCTGTCAATTTGATGCCTCATTATCTTCTCCATCTTCCCTAACCTCAGGATATTACATTAGAAAACAGGTGGAAAAACCACCTAAGAAAGCAAGGTAATACAAAAACTTTTGAAGGTGAAGTCAGGAACTAAGGGGCAGAGGCTGGAGTACAGGACATTTAGTACAGGTTCACTGACTAGAAATGTGAGGGTTGGGTAGACAGTTACCTATATCTCTACAGTACTAAACATATAATCCTGTCATGTCCTTACCTTCAACTGTTCCCTATCTCAGGCAAATTTTTTTCTACTGTTACCTTCCTCCATGCACACTACACTCTTATCAGCCAGAATCACTTTCTATTCTCCAAACATACACACTGTTAAGCTTCTAAGCCCCTGAACATGCTCATGCTGTTCCTACTTGGTATGTCCTTCCCTCACTGCACACAGAAAACTCTAGTGTTTCTTCATGACTCAGGTCTCTGATATCTTCTCTGATGGCCCATCAGCACAGTCACTCTATACAAATCTTTCCTTTGTTGTTTATCCCAAAAGTGCTTAAGAGTAAGCCTCCAAGGTTAGAGAGAAATGAGTATGAATCTTGGTTATACAATTTACTAGCTGTGCAACTATAGTACCAGCCTGAAAGATGTCCCCCAACAATCCTGACCTTCTGATATTTGCATCCATTGTCTCAGTATGTTTAGTGTTGCCACATAGAATATCACAGACAGGATAATTTATAAAGAAATAAATTTATTTCTCACAGTTATAGAAGTTGTGAAGTCTGATATCAAGATGCCAACATATGCAAAGGACCTTCAATGCATCATTCTATTGTGAAAGATGAAAAGGCAAGAGCATGCACACACAGAGATGAATACACATACAGAAATATACATGAAAGAACAAGAGAGGAGGAGGAACAGAAAGAGGCAAAGAGAAGGGGACGGAGGGAAAAAGTGAATGAATTCACTTTCAAGCCCTTTTATAATCAGCATTAATCCATTCATACAGGGGGAGCCTCCTGACCTAAACACTTCTCATTAGGACCCACCTCCCTACACTGTTGCATTGGGGATTAAGTTTCCAACATATGACCTTAGGGAGACACATTCAAACCATAGCACACTCGTAGAGTCCCTTCCCAGATGTATCAGAGTTGGTCCATATGACTCAAAGAAATGATATGTCATGTAGGAATAAATTAGAAAAGATACTTTGGGGGCTGGGGTAATGGCTCAAGCGGTAGCGCGCTCGCCTGGCGTGCGTGCGGCCGGGTTCGATCCTCAGCACCACATACAAACAAAGATGTTGTGTCCACCGAGAACTAAGAAAAAATAAATATTAAAATTCTCTCTCTCTCTCTCTCTCTCTCTCTCTCTCTCTCTCTCTCTCTTTAAAAAAAAAAAAGAAAGAAAAGATACTTTGGCTTTCCATCTTGGGCTCTCACACTCCTTTTCTTTCTCTCTTGAATTACTTGCTTTGAAGAAAGCCAGCTACCATGTTGAAAAACCCAATAGAGAGGTTCCAGGTGGTGAAGAACTGAGGCCTGCCAATAACCATTAAGTGAGCTTGAAAGCAGTTTCTCCAGACCAGAAAAACCTCAGATGACTATAGCCCCAGCTAACACTTTGATTCAAACACTATAAAAGACTCTGTGCCAAGCCTCTCTATCTAAACTTCTGGATTGCTAAACCACTGAAACAGTAAGACAGTGAACATTTGTTTTAAACCACTAGGTTTTTAGGATAGTCTGTTACACAGCAATAGCTAACTAATACTCTTGGAAGGAATGGTAACAGCCCAAGAAAATTTGGTTCAAGTTCAGGCAATGGTGCTTACTAACAGAAGACCCCTGGGAAAAACACCTAATCTCCTGAGCCACATTTTCCTACTTGTACAATGAGAAAACTGGAGCTACAGTGATCTAACCTATAAAGTAAATAGCATATCCTAAAACTAGAACATAAGCTAATCTCCAGGCATAGCGACACAAACATAATCATAGCAACTTGGGAGGTTAAGGCAAAATGATCAAAAGTTCAAGGTCAGCCTCAGCAACTTCGTGAGACCCTATCTCAAAATAAAGAATCAAATGGGCTGGGGATGTAGCTCAGTGGTAAAGTGCCCCTATTTTCAATCCCCAGAATAAAAAGGAAGGAAAAAAAAGATAATCAAAAGAGGAATAAAGTTTACAGCAAAAATAAAGCTACTCCTTAAGAAACTAAGGTTCATCTAAATAAGCAGTAAGTTCTTCTGGTAAATGTTATAAAATAAATAAATAAAAGCTTCCTTGGTCTTTGAATTGAAATTAAGGACCAGACTTACTACTACTACTACTACTACTACACTACTACTACTACTACTTCTTTTTAAGTCGTAGATGGACACAGTTCTTTATTTATTTTTATGTGGTATTAAGAATTGAACCCAGTGCCTCACATATGGTAAGCAAGCACTCTACCACTGAGCTACAACCCCAGCCCCAGACTTACTTCTAAACACCCAAAACACGGGAAAACAATGCAAAATGCAAAATACTTATCTAAAAGTAAAATTTATATCATTACTCTAAAACTAGTAAAACAAGACTATACAGTCTACATGCAATCTAAAAAAATGGAGATTTGCTCTATGTAAACCCCTTTATATCTCTCTCTAGATCCTAGATCTGGCACAGGAATAAGTACACAGAACTTGAGAGCCATGTGTAGTGGTGCTTGCCTGTAATCCCAGTGACGTGACAGGCTGAAACAGGAAGATAGAAAGTTCCAGGCCAGCCTCAGCAACTAAATAATACTGTTCTCAAATAAAAAAAATAATGTGGGTAAAAGGAATACAGCTCAGTGGTCGAGTATCCCTGGGTTCAATCCCTAGTACCAAATAAAAATTTAAAAAGATATAAAAAACTTACTATGCACCAAATTGCTCTCTTTCCTCCCCAAACCTGAGGTTCCAACCCCATTGTCAGACTCAACTAAGATGGTTTAGAAAGAAGAAAAAAATACACATATTTGGAGATACAATGTGACATATCATAAAGAAGAATGTAGAAGTAGCAAAGTACAGAAAAAACTTAAAGACTTTAACTTTATTAAACTATGATGATTTTCAATTGCCTCCATCCAGCTGTCCTCATTGTAAAGAAATGTGATAGACAATCAGATCAGGACTCTCCCAGACAAGCCTAGGTAGTAAGACTCTAGCTAGAGAGGCAGGACAATGTAGGCTAAGAATGAACCAGAAACCCTCCCTTGACTTATTCCTATCTTAGTTCTATTTACCACTGACTACTCTAATGTTAATGCCCTGAGACAACTAAATCATCAGCTGGTATTACATATCTTTAGATTATAACAGCACCCTATGTTCACTGCTTTAAGGCATCAGGCCAAGTCCCTATATAACGTGCCTAAAAGTGATTATGAAGATATGTGCAGAATCCTAACTGTGGTTTGTACTTTTTCGCCCTCTGAAAAGATATATAAAATGTTCCCTAACAATTCACATATAAATTTGTTTTTCTTCCTTTTTTTTAAACAGAATTCTTTTGTTAACTTTATTTATTTATTTTTATGTGGTGCTGAGGATTGAACCCAGTGCCTCACACGTGTTAGGCAAGTGCTCTACCACTGAGCCCAAGCCCCAGCCCTAAATTTGTTTTTCTTAAGAAAATATACATAACCATAAATTTCCCAACACTTGATTCTTTAAAATAGATGTGCACTCATTAAATAAATCATGGTACTTACACATAGAGATCCATAGGAAACTCCTTCATCATGTGTGTTACAATAAACTCTACCATCAAGTCTAAAAGGGGAAAGGAGAAAAACTAGATCAATTAGAATAAATGCATTCTTTGCCTCTGACTTGGGGCAAAAAATGTTTCTGAGTACCATACACCTTGAATTCATGCTAAATGGTATCCTCTACCCACATCTGCAATCACACCCGCCTAAATTTATTTTGTATAAGACACTTTTTGCAACACTGTTCACCATCTGCCACTTGTAAATTAACAACAACAACAACAAAAAAAAAATAGTTTACTTTCTTGTCTGGGGATACAGCTCAGTTGAGAGAGTGCTTGCCTCCTATGCACAAGACCCTGGGTTCAATCCCTGGCACCAAAAAAAAAAAAAAAAAAAAAAAAAGTTCACTTTCCTACTCCCTGAATAAATCAAATACACAGGAAATTTCATTGTACAGATGAAATTTATATCATTACTCCAGAACGAGGAAACCAATGGCACTAATACAATGCAAGAGGGAAGTCATACTAGAAACTAGAGTAATAAGGCAAGCAGAAGAAGAAATTATAGATCACACTGTGTAACCAGTCTCAGTTCTAAAACTATGTCTATCCCATCTCATTATCACATTGTTTGATGGATATCAACTGAAATAATATGTGAAGCTCTGGTTCAACAAAAGTTTATTATATAATGCTTATTACATAGTCTTAACAACAGTTTCTAAAATCAAGATTTAGAAAGAGTTCTACTGCTACAAGGCTGAGGCAAGAGGATCTCAAGTTCAAAGCCAGCCTCAGCAACTTATACAGGTCCTAAGCAACTTAGCGAGACCCTGTCTCTAAATAAAATATAAAAAGGGGGCTGGGTATATGTCTCAGTGGTTGAGCACCCCTGAGTTCAATCCCCGGTACAAAAAAAAAAAAAAAAAAAAAAAGTTCTATTGCTAAGTATGGTGGCATATGCCTGTAATTCCAGTTACTCAGGAGGCTGAGGCAACAGAATCAAAACACTGGGCAATTCAGGGAGACCCTGCCTCAAAATAAAAAATGAAAAGGGCTGAGGGATGCTGAGTAGTATAACACTCCTGGGTATAATCCCCAGTATCTATCTATCTATCTCTCTCTCTCTCTCTCTCTCTCTCTCTCTCTCTCTCTCTCTCTGTAGTATAACACTCCTGGGTATAATCCCCAGTATCTCTCTCTCTCTCTCTCTCTCTCACACACACACACACACACACACACACAGAGTTCTCCTAATTCCCTCAAGGAAAATACAGGATTCTAGGCAGATAAAATTACCTGTCAGCTCTGTCAACCCCTTCTCAGCCTCATTTACTTAGGGGAAGTTTTGTATATGCCTGAACTTTGAACTTCAAGACTCCTGACCACCTGACACATCAATGTGGACCATGAAAAAAAGGGAAGAATTTTGAAATCTTGATCAAGAATAAGATATTTTATAAACTTAAATCATGTATAAAGTTTAGACATAGTCATTTGTTTCCCTGGAAAAGGCTTTCTTTGAACAACAGCACCCTTTATTGAGTACTCTATTCACTAGGATTGCTATCAATCACACAATAAACATGGTTTCTAAGGCCAGTGAAGAAACATAACTAATAACTTCTCTGAAAAAGAAACATATCAACCAGGATCTTATTCATGAAAATCTATCATTGCCTTAAAAAAAATGCCAATTTTGATGATACTCACTCACCTAGTACCGCGCATACTAAAGGACGGCAGGGAAGGTTCTTGTCTGCTGCCTTCTTCCTGTGTCTCATAGGCTTCACACACACAAAAAGAAAAAAGGAAATTAGACAAATGAACTGATATCCAATGTTTTATCACATATGTTTCTAATGCAAATAAAATCACTTCTGCAGAGATGCTACCTTTTCTTTCTCTTTTTCTAGTGGTGGAGGTGGGAACAGGGAAGACTTGTAAATGCTTCTCAGTTACCAGCAAAACTGGGTGACAAAAATACAATTCACAGCAAGGCAACAGTCCTAAAGGGCACTGATGCACACTAAATAGAAAAGTTGCTGTTTTTACTTTTATTCTATTGATACCACATGAACGGTATTATTAACATCAAAAGAGGTACACTTGTAATTTTCTTTGATAAAAAAATAATTAGGGCTGGGGCTGTGGCTACAGTGCTCATCTCACATGTATGTATCTCACTGGGTTTGATCCTCAGCACCACATAAAAATAAACAAATAAATAAAGGTATTGTGTCCATCTACAACTAAAAAATAATTTAAATAATAATAATAATTAAGCAAAGAAGAGGAGGTGATGGTGGTGGTTATAGATGCAACAATGGTACCAAATGCAAAAACAAAAGTTTCAAATCTAAACCTCAAAGCAATATTTTTTAAACATACCTACAAGCTTGAGGATAGTACCTGATCTTCCATATTCTATTTGTCCCATCTTTCAGATGAATAAAATCATTAAGCACCTAGTCTTGGCTAATCTAAGATCACACTACATTTTGAAAACATAGGCTGAGACCCATCACTTGGTTGAAACTGGAACGTTACTGACACATTCTGATAACAATGCAGTGTCTCTATGGTTGTGGCTCTTTCTATCCTCTCTTGAGCAAGAAACAGTTCTCTGATGCACAAAAGTCCCAAAGATAGGCATGAGGCTACTGAACAGCAGTCATGCAAGAATCTTTTGGTACAATTTCCCATCCTTTTTTGTTCTAGTAGAATTAATTTCATGCCAACAAAAAATATTCTCTGAGAAAATAAGAAGCAAAAGTAACACCTACCATTCTATGTAAATTCACTCGAAAATTCATATTGTCATCGTGCAAAAATGCATTGGCATACTGATCCTGATAAAAATCAAGAAAAAGTAAAGAGTAAGAGCTATATTTAAGAAATTCAGTATAATCTATCATACCTTCTACAAATCCCTAGATTTAAAGAACAACTTTGGCCAGACATGGTAAGGCAGAAAGAGGAGTGCAAGTTCAAGGACAATCTGGACAATTTAACAAAACACTGTCTCAAAAATAATGGGAGAGGGAGGGGAGAACATGGGTGTTACTCAGTGGTAGAGGGCTCCTGGGTTCAATCCCCAATACAAAAAGAAAAAAAAAAACAAAATCTATTTTCACAAATCAGTTGGAAAGCTAATGGGATCAGCCCACTATAGCCTTTACATCAAACCCTATTTGAGTCATGAGATTTTATATCTTTTTTTTTCCCAGTATATTTTTAACTGGTAAAAAAAATCTCTTAAAAAATTAAAACAATAAAAATTAAGACCCAAAGACTTAAGGCAAATACTAAGAAGAAACTGTTTTCCTATTCCCTTTTCCTTCCCATATGCCCAAGGAGTCAGCTGTTTATGACAGCTTGAAGGTTTTCTTAGGGGCTGCAGGATGCATGCACAGGCTCCTCATGAGACTCTAGGAATAAGCAGAAAGGTCTGTGCTCTACTAGAAGTGAGCTCAGCATAGCAGGAGAAAAGTGCTACACAGGCAGCGTGGAAGCAGGTAAGACCTTTCTACTTCTGGCTTTGCTGAAGACTGATAGAAAATCAAAAACTTCTCACCAAGGATTGGTAATAAACATCCTTGGCCTTTTCCCAACACCTTTTCTGAAGATCTGACATGCTTACAGACTCCAATTACTGGGAACTGTTGCAACTTGTTAAAAACAACTTCTTTAAAGATTTTCTTCGAAAGATTTTTGAAAAGCAATTACACCAGGCCCACTGCTAATAAGCAGCACTTCTATAACCAGCTTTCCGTAGCCTTGTGAAAGGAGGTCATCTTCCCACAGAGAACATAAATAAGGAAACTATGAGAGATTGCTATTCCATGTGGACCACCTTGACTATTTTTCTTAAGAGAGAAAAGAGTAAGGAATAATGAAAGGGAGAGGTTGAAGCTATAAATTTAGCTCTAAACTGACTCAGGTTCTGCCACAGCTGTATGTCACTAAGATCCACGATGAGTTAGAGCCTAATTAATCCAATCCAAAGTGCCTCTTCACAACACCTCTTCCTTTTTTCCCCTCAGTCTTGTTCTTCACCAAACTGCAATCACTCCCCACCCTGGATATTTTCTCTACTCCTTTGTCCCCAGGAAATCCAAACTCCTCTTTTATATTGCCAAATGCAAGAGACCCAAAAAGAGCAGCTTCAAAGTGACAAGATTATTCTTTCTAAAGAGTTATAACTCCCTTGTTTAAAATTCCTTAAACAAAAAAAAATCCAGAATTTTCTAGTTTTCAACTATAGCAGTTACCATATCACAATTCATTATTAATGCATCTAGTAAATGCTGGTTGAACCTCTACCATATGCCTGATACAGAGAATAAAGTGTAAAAAGATGCTGGGCATGGTAACATACACCTGTAATCCCAGCAACTCGGGAGGCTAAGTTCAAAGTTAGCTTTAGCAACTTGGTGAGGTCCTAAGCAACTGAGCAAAATCCTGTCTCTAAATAAAGTATAAAAAAGGGCTCTGGATGTGGCTCAGTGGTTAAAGTACCCCTGGGTTCAATCCCCAGTACCAAAAAAAAAAAAAAATTGAAAAGACAAAAAAGACCCTGTTGTTGGAGTTTACTTTCTAGTGGGAAGGAACAGACAATACAGAGAGGGAAGATTTTCTCTCCCAAGCATTAGGACCCTAAAAGTCGTGAAAAAGGAAACAAGAGACAGGGCAAGGAAAAAACAGCACTTTGTAAGAGACAAACCAATACCAGAAGGAAGGCTGTTGAGACCTACCTCTGCAATACACGTAAGGATGATCAGACAGAGCTTGCCACTGTGAAGCCTGTGTTCATCTGTGAACAAAAACACACCATTCTCTGTCCATCACACAGATCACATTTTCACAGAGAATAAAGGTATACATCATTAAAAGTAACATTCACAACTCTCTTTCCCCACAAAATTCATGAATGAAAATCAAGATACTACTAGAGTATATCTACCTTCCCTCCCAGGCAAGAGAATTCCCACAGAAAACCTCCTTTTTTTCCTCCTTAAATATCCTGGTAGTATGTTAAACACTTCCTGAGAGTCATCTAACCCTTGTAATGGCTCCTTATCGTCCTAAGACAACTCACTCTCTCCCTTCAGAGCGTCCTCTTTTCCCTTTTCCTATCCCTTCAAATAACTTCATGCCTGCTACTCTGAGACATATCTGAAATCTTTCCAACGTGACCCAAGAACTGGTAAGAGAGGACTGCCCTGTAACCTTGTCATGGGCCATTGCCTTTGTGTCCAAACCAGCCCTTTGCTTCTGAATAGTCAGATCCAGTCCCTTTCCCACTCCCTTGTCTACCACCTATAAGCACCATAATTTATACTACCTACCACAAAATCTAGAAAGGTTTCATGACTGTTCATAGTAAACCAACAATGAAATCAGAAAGAAATTAACTGGAGAACCAGGGTCCAGTCCATACTTCTCCTTGCACTGTGCACATTATTTATGACCTGGAAAGATATGAACTCTTAAACATTTTTAAGAGTGGCACAGTGGCATATGCCTTTAATCCAGCAGTTTGGGAGGCTAAGGCAGGAGGACCACAAGTTCAAAGCCAGCCTCAGCAGTTTAATGAGGTCCTAAGCAACTCAGTGAGACCCTGTCTCTAAATAAAACATAAAAAGAACTGGGGATGTGGTTCAGTGGCAAATGCCCCTGGGTTCAATCCCTGGTACAAAAAGGCAAAAACAAAAAAAGATTTTAACTCCTAACAAAGTTATTCATTCAACAACTATTTATTTAGCACCTACTATGTAGCAGGCACTGTACTAGGCACTAAAAATATAGTACTGATCTAACAAAGGTCTCCAGCTCCCAGAGCTCACATTCTAATCATTTAAAAAGAAAGCAAAGGGTGGAGGGGTAACTCAGTGGTGGAATGCTTGCCAACCATGTGCAAGGCCCTGAATTTTAATCCCGAACACAGAAAAGAAGAAGAATAGAAGGCAGTAACCTCCATAACAGAGCTCTAGGCCCACATACAAATGACCAAAAAAGACAGTGCCACAGTGCTTGCCTAGTGTGTACAAAGCCCTGGATTCAATCCCCAGTACCTGGGGAAAAAAATTACTTCATCTCTGCCAATTACCAAAACCATGAAAACTTTCTTCCAAGAACTTTGTAAGAGAGTGAAATGGAGGTAAGAAGAGGGCCATGCCTGTGCATCCAAAAAAAATAGCTCATGATTTTCATATTTGCTTTAATAAGACCCAGATCAAAGTCCATTCTGGAGAGACCTCTTGACGATTGCAGCGCCACAGAAGTTAGCTAATATTATTCTTTTTGACATTAACCGGCTTCTTCCTCAAAGACAGAACCTATCAATTAAAACTTAACAATTAGAAGGTATAATAGGGTTTGCAGTCCTCTTCTCAGAGACTGGCAGTGCAAAAAAAGTGCTAATAATCCCTATCTGATCCCCTATAGCTGGCAGTAGAGCCCTCAAGCAGTCAGGAGAGCAATACCATTGCCTATGCAAAACTAGTTTCAGGACACTCTTCTAACTTGTAGCCATTTTTCCACTTAAATAAAAAAAAAAAACAGTTTCTGAATACAAAAATAAGGCAGGCAGGCTGGGATTATAGCTCAGTGGTAGAGCACTTGCCTCGCTAAAATAAAGGTATTGTGTCCATATACAACTTAAAAAAAAATGGGGAGCTGGGATTGTGGCTCAGAGGTAGAGCACTCGCCTAGCATGGCCAGGACCCGGGTTCGATCCTCAGCACCACATAAAAATAAAGGCATTGTGTTGTGTCCATCTACACCTAAAAAAATAAATAAAAGAGTTTTTTTTTAAATGTAAGACACACTTCAATATAGACATGTTTTAAACTCAAGAAAACAAAAAACTCCCAACAAAACCAAGTTTAAAACTATCAAAACTTCAGTGAAGCAACTTTAAGTCTATGTTAAAAATTTTTTTTCCTATGTCCATGTGTGCACAGGTGTACTGGAGATTAAATTCAAAGCCTTGAACCTGATAGCCAAGTGTGCTGACATTGAGCAGAACCCCAGCACTAATGTCCATTTTAAAGGTACATCAGGTGCTCACTTCAGCAGCACATATACTAAAACTGAAACGATACAGAGAAGATCAGCATGGCCCCTCGCATGGATGACATGCAAATTCGTGAAGTGTCCCATATTTTTTTTTTTTTAAAGAGAGAAGAGGAGAGAGAGAGAGAGAGAGAGAGAGAATTTTTTAATATTTATTTTTTTTAGTTCTCAGCGGACACAACATCTTTGTTTGTATGTGGTGCTGAGGATCGAACCCAGGCCGCACGCATGCCAGGCGAGCGCGCTACCGCTTGAGCCACATCCCCAGCCCCATCGTCCCATATTTTTAAAAAATAAAATAAAGGTACATCAGATGCTCCTTTGAGGTGGCAACACAAAAATCAAAAAGGGTTAAAAAGCAGAATCAAATCAAGATAATGATAAACATGAAAAGCACAGACAGAAGTTTATTTAGGAAAGTAGATATACATTCAAGGGAGATTGGGGACAGCAACTACAAAAGAAAGATGCCTTTGGGGTAAAGCAAGGACTAGGCATTCAAGGGAGAAAGTGGAATATCTCCAGAGGGAAAGAACCTTCAACAGCATTAATAGTGTTCTACTTTTTTAAGTTGAATGGTAAGTTCACATGTTTGTTTTATTATTATACTTTGCAACATGCTATTTATTACAGATTTTATAGCTTTTGTTTTGTTACTGGAATTGAAAACAGGGGCATTCTATCACTGAACAATATTGCCAGTTTTATTATGTTTTTAGAAGCTTTTTCTTGGCTCTGTCCATACCCCAGGATATTATTTTATTTATTTATTTTCTTACTTACTTACTTATTCATTCAGTACTGGAGTGTTTTAGTCAGCTTTTTCCCTGCTGTGACTAAAGGACCTGACCAGAACAACTGCAGAGGAGGAAAGTTTATTTGAGGGCTCATGGTGTCAAAGGTGTTGGTCCATAGAAGGCAGGCTACTTTCCCTGGGGCTCAAGGTGAGGCTGAACATCATAGCAGGAGAGTGTGGCAGAGGAAAGCACCTCAAACTGTGAGCAGGAAGCAGAGAGAGAATCTACTAGCCAGATACAAACATATACTCAAAGCCAATTCCCACCTCCTTCAGCCACACCCTACCACTTCAGTTACCACTCAGTTAATCCCTATCAGGGAATTAAATCACTGATTGGGTTAAGAATCTTACAACCCAATCATTTCTCCACTGAACCTTCTTGCACTGTCTCATCCATGAGCTTTTGGGGGACACCTCACATCCAAACCATAACACAGGGATTGAACTCAGGAGTGCTTAACCATTGAGCCACATCCCCAACCCTTTTAATTTTTTATTTTGAGACAGGATCTCACTTAGTTGCTTAGGACCTCACTAATTCACTGAAGTTGGCTCAAACTTGCAATCCTCCTGCCTCAGCCTCCCAAATTGCTGAGCTTACAGATATTTCATTTACTTATTTATTTTTAAATTTTGAAACAAGGTCTTGCTAAATTTCTAAGGCTTAAACTTGTGAGTTTCTGGGATTACAGCTGTGCCCTACTGTGCCCAGATTATACTATACAATTTATATTTATCTATTAAAAGTATCTTCTTATAAATATCAAGGGATAGATACATAATAAAGAAAAACATAATATGCTAGGTGGGGAACAGGTATAGAGCTGAGAAAAAGTTGCCTCTAAGAACATAATAAGATCCTGTTAGCCAGAGAATGACACAATAGGTCAAGGATTAAGACCAGAAGAGAGCTAGGCCAATGAAGTTCACAGGGACCATTTTTCAAATTAACTCTTCGTCATACCTAACCTTGCCCTTTATCATATTTAGTCTCCCTGTTGGCAAATACCTAATGCAGCCTGAGTTTAGAAACACTGAGACCACCCATATTGCAATTAATTTGCCCTAAATTTTGGCTTCTATTCTACAGACAGTGAAGTGACCAGGACAAAGAGGGTTATATAATGATTGACAGCTAAAAATGAGTTCCAACACAGCCTCAATTCACTGTGTTACATCAAGCAAAGCTGAAAGTTCATTTTCTGGGTCACATTCATGCAATTTCTCTCTTCTATGTTTGCTACAATATTTCAAGAGAAAGAAAGATGTTACCCATTTCCATAAAGAAACAATAGCCTCAGGAAATTCACATATAAGAGTCTTGTTATCCTTGCTTGCCAGGTCTCATTTGCCAAGTCTCAAGATTCAGCCACCTTGGCAGTTCTCAATGGACTATTCTATGTTAGGCATTTGTGATATGGAATATCTGCATCTATCTCACCGTGTGTGTAGCTCTCCTTTATTTGTGGGGGGGGGGCGTGTACTACAGATTGACCCACCCCAGGGGTACTTAACCACTGAGCCACATGCTCAGCCATTTTTATTTTTTATTTTGAGATGAACTCTCACTATATTGCTTAGGGCCTTATTAAATTCCTGAGGCAGGTTTTGAACTTAGGATCCTCCTGTCTCAGGCTCCCAAATCACTGAGATTACAGGCAAGAGCCACCATGCCCAGTAGCTCTCACTCTTGAAAGAGCACAATCATAACTCATAAGAGAAAAAAGTCTAAATTTGCAAGGTATAAATCTCCAAGAGCTAATGCAAATATGTCTGAATATAACATGGCTCAGACTCACCAACCTGCTCTGGCAAGTCTTCATTTCCCATATTTGTCTTTTACTCTCCTACCTCTATCTACCAATGTTTCCTTCTCACTCCAAAAGCCCCTGAAACTGGTCCTCCCCTTCTATACCACTCTTGCTTTTCAGCTACAT